GCAGGGGGCTGGACTTGATGACCTTTCAAGGTCCCTTCCAACTCTAGGAGATGGGATATCTCCATTTAAAAAAAAAATCTTCCATGGGCAGCGCTCCTGGGAATACAATGTGATACTGTGTTTTTAAAAATTACAAGCTCTTGGCTGGACCTTTTTTATTTTTCTTTCCTTCTAAAACACATGTTTTTCATGCCATGAGATAAAAGGAATGCACCGTAGAGAGCCCCCAGGGGTGGAGGTGAGGTCACTAAAGTTTTCATAACTGCTAGCGTCAGACTAATGGCCAAATTATTGCTTCTTAAGAGACACCACGCCCTGGAGACGAAGCATGCTGTTCAAGCACTAGGCTGTGGAGGTGGACGGTCAGATTCACTCCCTAGACTTCGGGCAGTGAAACTGTAAGGTGTATAGAGACAGAGGCACATGTTTCCTACACTCCCTTATCTGCCGTGGAGTTTGGTTCCCACGCAATGGCAGCAGGAGTGGGGCTAGCAAGGCCAGTTCAGAGATATATCCATTCGGAGCATCTTTGCTCTGCCAGTAGGACTCCCATGGGCTGTAAAATAAAGGTGTCTTTCTTTTGTGGAGGCACTGGGGGAGGGATGAGATTGTGCATTCCCCCTATCCCCCACCTCCTCCCCTTGCAACTCCAGATGCCTTGAAGATGCCTCTCCAGACTCTGAATGATAAGAGTGGAATGAGGGTAAAGCTTGTTATTTATGCTTGCGTATTGCATACTGTTTTCAGAGCTAGGGGAAGCTTCTTTAAAAAGGTGTCGCATGTACACTCTTCCCCCCAGTGCAGCTGTCTTGGTGCTCTTTTCTTCATGGAAGAGGACCACACATTCTCCTTGCCCTGGTATGTTTCCTCTGGGATGGTTGGCATGGCTGCCACCACTGGCCAACATCTCTCTTCATGCAGTAGTCTGCTGGCGGACAAATCATTTCTGCTTCCTGTGCAGTGGACTCCCCGTACCTCTTCCCTTTCTACAGCAGCTGCTCAGATGCAGGCACAATGTAACCCTTAACTGCTCGAGTTAACCTGGTGGCCAATAAACCCTTCCTCAAATTAATGTGTTTCCAAAAAATCGAGAGTTTTAAAAGAAACTCCTGTACTAACAAAACCCAGACTCAACCCTTTAAACCCAGAACCTGAACTGAACTTCAGCAAAGCTTGGTAACCTTTTTCTGTTTTCACGTTGCTCCTGTGTCGGAAGCAGAAATACCTACAATAACCTAGGAATGGCTACCCTAGGAAAGGCATTATTTCCAACCCAGCCAGAAGCAAGAAAAACTAGGATTTTTGTTTGAAAAAATGCTACTTCCTGGGAGATTTTTAGCCCAGTTCTGATGACTCTGGGATCTGCACAGTGTGGAGAAGTATCCTGATTAGAGCTGAGTGAAACTTTTCAACACTTTTTTTTTTTTTTTTTTTTTTTTTTTTGGTGGAAAAATGCAGATTCAGCATCACCAAAATATTTTGTGAAATCATTTCAATTTCACCAAATAATTTCAGTGGGAAAAAAAATCCTAAAAGCTCAAAGTTTTGTTTCAGCACTTTTGAAATGAAGTGTTTACTTTTTTATTTGAATACCTTTTGAAATTAAAGAAAATTTTCCTTTAAAAAAAATGGAAAAAAAAACCCTCAAAATCAATACAAAACATTTTATTTTGAGTGGAACAAAATGTCTTGAACAACCCTTTTTTTCTTTCAATTTGCCAAAAAAAATTGGAAAATTTAATTTTTGGTTCAACCTTTTTGACAGTCACTATGTTCATATATATTTAAACACATGGAAAATCTTCTATATTGTGCATAGTTTTGGAATCTGGCACTGTCCTAAAGGGAAAAAAAAACTGCTTTTACTTTAATCAGTCCATCATACTTTGCTAATTTCCGTCAGTATTTTATGGGGATGATGGAGGAATCTGAAAATTTAGAGAGATAAAAGACCTGATATTTAGTCTATTCCTTAGAGGGAAGTGAAGAATTATTCTCTACATAGTGTTTTGGCTAGACTAGATCTAAAGATTTCTTGTATTTCTTCTGAGCCTTTTAAAATTCATGATATTTGACCTTTTACTAGAAATTGATTCTATACATACCTTGTATCCAACAGAATAACTGAAGGCATCATCTTTAGAGGGGTATTTTTCAGGTGCTGTGAAGTGTCTGTATTTGACCTGAGATAGATCTTTCTGTGTTTAAATAGAAGCCAATGATTTGTTGTCATGCAAACTGCTAGTAATGACTTTTGGATGTCAGAGTGTTAGCATTTATATGTCATATTCTTGTTTCATTCAGGGATTTTTGTTACCCACAGAGAGGCAGAGTTCTGCAATAACAGCTTTTCATGATACTGTCAGTGCGGGGCATGGATCAGTGTTTTTGTCACACTCCCCATCAGTACCCGGCCCAAGCCAGGGAAGCTGATGATCCGACTCGGTGATGAATCCTCGTCATGTGCTGCCTGAGGCACATTGCACATACTCTAAGAAGAAGGCGGCGGCTGGTTCCGAAAAGCATGTGTAATGCTGTTGCCTAGTGGAAAACTGAAAATGTCTACTGATGCATGAACCTGATAAGGTTTAGGTGTTTGGTTCAGTTGGGATAAGTATCTAAAAGATTGGATATTTATCTGGATATCTTTTATTAACGTCTGGTGCCAAGTCCTGTTCTGACTTGGGCTCCTGCAGTGCTCCTGATTTAGTGGGTTACAGGGGCATAAATAAGAGCAGAATTTGGTGCTCTATGTTGCAAAATGCATCAGAAATTGAATAGACAGTAGATTTCTGTGACAGGCTTAGTCCCCTTAAGGGCAGTAGGACCTAGGGGCCAGCCCACCCCTATCCTGTAGTCATGGCCCTTTAAGATTTTGGGAGGTCTTATGGACACAAGGACCTAAGCAATAGGAGATATTGGTAGAAATGAAGCAGTCATGGGAATAAGAAGTGTTTGCAGAGGGAGGGGTGGGAGGAGGGGCGGAGGAGAACCTGTTATTGTTTCTTTAAGGGCTGGGACCAGGAGGCTTACAGAGTGGGCGGGGCAAAACTCCCTCTCTCCCAGCCAATTGGTTTGAGATCTGGGAAGGGGACCAGCATATATGCTGTCTCCTCCCTCATAGCAGTGGAGACTCCAGCTGGAGAAGGTCTGCCTGCTAAACCCTTCCAGTCTGAGAGTGAAAGGATTAATTGGAGAAAAAGGGTCAGCTGGGGCAGTAGATGTTTGTGGCCCTGCTGGTGACCTAAACTACAACCCAGTTCCCAGGAGGAAAGCAGGGGACCCCTGTGCTCCGAAGGGCTTTAATAGCTGCCTGAATTACCCAGCTCTAGGAGGGGGGCTGGGGCTTCCTGAACAGGGGGAAGGAAACTTTCCTGGGACTCTTATATGAGCCCAGAGTGGGTGAGAACTTTAGAGACTAAAGAGTGGTTTGTACTCACTAAATAAAGTTAATAAACCAGACCACATGAAGTAATCTGGTTTGGGTAATTGACTGGAAGAACCCGAGTGGGCACTGAGGTCAGTGCACCGCAGGGCCATGGGGGGCCACAAGGGGATGCACTCTGGAGGCAACCACAGCATTCCTGTTTCTTACAAGGTTTCCAGTGCTTCCTTTCGGTCCTTAACTTCACATGGGACTTTACCGAGAGTTATGGTGCTATAGATGTACTAAATACCATGTTTCTGAGGTATCTGCTGAGTTGTCTCAAGCCCATGTTTTTTCTATGATTATTACTGCTATTGGAAACATTTAGCCCGATATCAGTGTTATATCAAACATGTATACATGCTATCATGCTGACATCTAGAAGTCACTGGTGTCAGGGTGCATGACAACGAATCATTAGCTCCTTTGCTAGTCTTGTCATCATTTTTAAAGACGGACTCCTGAAAAGCTTGGTCTGAAGTTGCCCCACACTCCAATTTGTCTTGCCTAAAGAAGAACAAGCAGAGCTGTCCCTGCTGCCGAGCTGTGGTGACGTGGCTCCAAAAGGATATGTTTGTGACAGCTCAGTTAATCTGCCCAGGTGGCCTGTTAACAAAGAGTAGAGTGGATGCTAAGATGGGTTCTGAGACTTATAGACGCCTTACCCCTTTAAAAGCGTTCTGACCTAGCATTGGAATAATACCTCCAGCCAAGGCTATTAGCATTCAGAGGCATGCTTGGTAAAATCATCATCATCATGTAGATACCCCTAGGTGGGAGGGATATTTGTTTGCGGTAAGATTACATTTATTTGAATACAAAAGTGGAGGGAGACATATCTAGGGTGTAGATACAGCTTCACAGGATCTTTCGTAACATAGGAAAAACTGGAACAGCAGCTGGGACTGTGCATTTGAAGCAGTGGCTAGCTGTTCTGAACGTCCTTGGGAGGTAAATAATGGACAGGGCAGGACATGGCTTTGGTGGTGGTGGTGTGTCTGGTATGATGACAAAGCAGGCAGATGAAGGAATCTTAACATAACAAAAGGGCTGTGAATCATGAAAAGAGGGCTGGGGGGGTGGGGGAGGAATTACATAGGGATGATGGCCTAAATAAGAGAAGCTGATGGAAAGGGATAGTGGATTAGGTGTGGCACGGTATGGTGGTTTCTGTATTTCCTATGTTCTGGGCACCCCCAACTCCCGTGAAATCAAGAGAGACTAACAATAAGCCACCCTAAACTTAATTTCCCCAATACTAATTTCTCCCTACTGTTACTCACACCTTCGTGTCAACTGTCTGTAATGGGCCACTCTCTTACCACTTCAAAAGTTATTTTTCCTCCCTTGGTATCTTGCTGTTAATTGTTTTATCTCGTTAGACTGACCTAACACTTGGTAAAGCAAACCACATCCTTTCATGTATTTATACCTGTTCCTGTATCTTTTACTTTATATATCTGATGAAGTGGGTTCTAGCCCACGAAACCTTATGCCCAAATAAATTTGTTAGTCTCTAACGTGCCACAAGGACTCCTCTTTATGTTGTCATCTTCCTTCTGTTCCCCCTTAGAATCGGACATAGCAGATTTCGATGGCAGAAGTTCCCTCCTGTACAGATTCAATCAGAAAATGATGAGCACCTTCAAAGACGTGGTTTCCCTAAAGTTCAAGAGCATGCAGGGGGATGGAGTCTTATTCCACGGAGAGGGACAGCGCGGAGACTACATTACACTGGAGCTGCAGAAAGGGAAACTCTCCTTGCACATTAACCTGGGTAGGAGCTGACATTTTTTATTCATTCACGTGAGATTTGTTTTCCATTTACTTTCATGATTTTGTATTTCAGCAGCATTGAGATGCCCCGGCTGAGATCAGGTCCCATTGTGCTAGGTGCTGTACATACACAGAGTAAAAGACAGTACCTGCCCCGAACATTTTGCAGTCTGAAGAGACAAAACAAAGGGTGGGAAGGGAAATAGAGAAGTGAAGTGACTTGCCTGAAGTCACACAGCAGGTCAGTGGCAGAGCCAAAAATAGAACCCACGTCTCCTGAGCACTAGGTCAGTGCCCTATTTATCTGACTGCACTACCTTTATTTTTCTAGCTGCAAATATTGTTGTTGCCTGTTTAATCTACATCAGGCCTCAGGGGATTCAGTTGCAATCTCAACTACAATTTCCTCTCTCTGCTTACAGAATGATTCCTTTTTAAGTTCATCATTTCAGAGCAGGGCTCTGTCCAAGCTCTGCAGGTAGCCATCCAGTCGTATTTAGCATTCGGCTCACAGCGTCTGTGGCTGCTCTCAAGCAATAAGTCTAGGCTGGGTAGTTTCCATTCAGGCTGAAAACAGGTCTTCCTTTCCCTGTAACAGAACCCCCGTTTTGGAGGAGGCATGTTAGCCTCTGTGTTGTCATTGCTATACATTCAGACAAAGGAAAAGAAACCTAAGGGGAAATGTTGGCATGTGCTGGAAAGCAGAATTCACCTGCATCAAAACAGCTTCAGACCAGTAGCACAACCCCCTCCCCCCTTTCCCCCCCGTAAAATATCAGACTGTTGCAGGGGAAAACTCCCTCCCACCACCCTGCTTTGTTAGCTTTCAATAAAATATGTGCAGGCTTCGATGCTTTTCTTTATTTAAGGTGATTTTAAGACACCTTTGTGGTCTCTGAGTCCTGTTACCAATCTGAACTCCTAGTGCAAATTACAGCAACCTCAGCGCTGCTGTATCTTATGTTTGCTGCCCAGGACCCCAAGGAGATGTTCTGGCAGTCAAGGATTGCTGGAGATTAGGGAAGCCTTGTCCACGCCTCCTTTCACTCAAGAGACACACTCCCTCACACTGAGAGTGTGGAGGTTTGGATTAGGAGCCACTAAAGTGACTCTGCCCCTCTTAAGGATATCCTTATAGAAGTTAAAATGGCTTTAGGGTTGCTTTGCTGCATAGGCACTGTTGAAGTTCTGATGCCATTTCTGATTTTGTTCTAATTCATCTAGCAATGATGTTACTTAATGTGAACTCTTGTGTGGATTTGTGCTATTCTTTCTCAAGATGAAAAGCATCTGATACTAGCAACTGGTATACCCAAAGGATTCAGGAGTTTGAATCAGCTCCCCAAAATGTAGGTGCTTCTCCAAAGCTCTTCAGAGGTGTTTGGTCTGCAAAGGTGACCAGGACAAGCTTTCTAGGGAGATTTCTTGTATTTCTTTGTAGGGCTGAATATGCCATGAGAACAGCTGTTCTTGAAGTATTTTGGTGCTTTTTTGCTTCTGGGCCTGGCTAGAGCCAGGCAGTGCAAAGGCATGGAGTCCCATCAGTGTTGGGTTGGTGGGATGAGGGAAGGTTTGGCTCAGTTCTTCTTTTGTACAAAGCTGTTTGCATTTCCCAAGTGGATACTTCAGATATACCTTCAATGGCAGGAGGTACTAGAGCATTCCACAGCTGGATTTTATATGCCACAGGGCAGATCACTGGAGTGAACACACTCTCTCTGTACAGTATTGGAGGGGGGGCGGAATCCCAAAGCCTTGGCCTTTCCTTTAGCAGAAGCCATAACTCCTGAGTAATTCAGCACTGGGACATCTATATGGAGAGTATTTGAAAATCTGTTCCTTCTGTCAGCTGACTACTCTCTTGCAGGGCTTCACTTCAGTGGCTCAGAATGTGAGTGGTTGACTTGATTTAAACCAGGGAATAATAGTGAATAACCCAGTAGCCATTGAGTCATGGTTGTGGCTTAGGGCAATTTAATACTTGTGATTAAAACAATGTGGTTCTTATCAGATAGGAACCTTCCCGCACTGTCTCCTAGACCAGGACTAGTATGATGACCTCTGCTGGAAGTGTTGTCAGACGGGACAGAGCGCAGACTCGTTGGTCTAAAAGCATGAAACCCTAATGCTTGTACTTTAACACTCCCATACTGAAAACTAGAGGAGACAAAGGCATTGTGTTAATAAGGGTTACTTTAGGTTCTATTGCCCCAGATTTCCCACCATCAGGATCACTGATGGTAGCAGTGGTGGGACCAATTGTGTAACCCTACTCATAGTATATCTACATGAGATTAGTGCTTAAAATGCTAGAGGCTGGTGGCGCCTCTTGTATGCTACAGCTCCCATTTTTGTTATCACCAGTGGAGCTGAATCCTGCAAGGCAGGAAGACTTAGTAAAACTCCCTAGTGTATACAAGGCCAGGGTAAAACGAGTCAATACCTGTTTCTCTTCTCAGCGTATGTCCGTGGGAGTTAGCAAAAGTCGTCCGACAATTAGAACAACTGAAATCATTAAAACAAACCCAGTTAATAATTCCTTCCTCGTTTCTCCCTTTGTGCTTAATTGTGTTTTGTTTAAAATCCCAGTAACAATTTTCCACGGCTCTTCATTTGTTTTTACATAAACTCATTAGTTGGCTTTGTACACAACTAATCTTTCTTCCTTGGTTTTTTAGAGTCGCATTGATAATGCTATATTCCTATTATTCATTATCTGTAAGCGTATAGTGCATTACGCATGCAAAAGACCCATTTCAGAAGGAAGCTCGAAACGCTGGGTTTTCTGACACTGTTGGTTTCTCGTCTTCCTTCAGAAAAAGTTCGACTCTTAATTTAGGAATAAGAGTGTGATACCATAGTTTTATTTATTTGGTTGCATTTCTATGAGATATCACATGTCTGTTTACTCTGGAACCTCAAATAGAGCTTTTATGAGCCACAAAATTTGAATCTGGATTTGACTACCACTGAGTGAGTGAGTGAGTGTGTGTGAGGGGAGGCAGGTTTTGGATCCAAGGTTTTTATCTTTTACACAGCTTGAGTAATCATTTTGGAATGTGCATCCTTCCATTTCCACTGATGAATAGAAAAGAAAAGAATGCACAGTAGAGACCAGAAGCTCTGAAATCTTAAGGCAGGAACCTGGCTAGAAAACAGAAAAGCACTTAGCTCATTGAGATCTGGGCCTGATTATTCTCTTACTGGAGTAGGACTCTGATCTCGCTTGCACTTCTATGCAACTGGTGTTACTCCACAGACATCAAAGGAATTATTCCCCATTTTTTTTCTAGTGCAATGGAGACCAAAATCTGGCACTATCTAAATATCTATTCTTGTTTATATTTCCAGAAACACACTGTCTAAAATGTTTTCTCCAGAGAGGGTTGCTAAAATGGGGAAGAAAAAAAAAAAGTGACGACTAAAATGTCAAGAGTAATTAGACTGTATGTTTGTGGAAACCCACAGTTGTACTACATCTGTTCCTTTAATGGGTGGCAGATTTCTGTTTAAGCCAGATGGCGTTCTTAAAATGTTAGGGTGTCTACTGCGCTTCAGAGCTGAGTAACAGGCAACACAACAATTTTGCAGTGCTGCCATGTATGACGATTTATGCAACAATCTGGGAAAATCCCCCTCCATATATTCCTGACCAGGACATTGGAACAAACCAAGAAGAGACTGTCCCCGAAGAATCCAAGCCAGGTTTACCCTGGGCCCTGTTTCTCTTGGGGCAGGACTCTAGACATCTAGTTAGCACATAGACATAGAAGCCTTAATGCTTCGGTTCAGGAGTCCAGGGCTCGCTACAGTGTCTTCTGTTTGCATCTGCCCCCGCAGGAGATGCCAAGCTGCGTTTCAGCACCAGTCACACATCAGTCACCCTGGGCAGCCTCCTGGATGATCAGCATTGGCACTCGGTTCTCATTGAACGCTTCAACAAGCAAGTGAACTTCACGGTGGACAAGCACACTCAGCATTTCCGAACCAAGGGGGATTCAGATCACCTGGACATTGATTATGAGGTGTGTTGAGTCTTTTGGGTTATATCTCTGGAGACAGGTGTGAGCTCGGGGAGCAGACAGTCTCTGTGCTGGTTTTGTCCGCAGTAACGATCTCTCTCTAACCTGTATTCCTTCTCCCCTAAAACTCCTCTCATGGTTAACCAGCCTGAATCATGGCACTTCCTCTGTGTGTCTGATGCTCTAGGGAAATTGTCAGTCTCTGGAAGGTTCATCAGCCCATGTACTAATCTGGGACTCAGAAGGCACAGCCTTCCATGGTGGAAGGATTATACTGCAGCAGAATCCCAAGGGGGAATTCAGAGGGAGTTTGTGCCGCAGTGGCAACTCTACAACTATTTCAATGGTTGTGTCATGCACTCTCCATGCACATGTGCAGCTCTGGTGGCCACAGTAGAGAGAACGTGGTCCTGTCCTTAACTCATCCCTGCATAGTCCAGCCAGATTGCAGCTGCCTCCAGCACAGAGATGGAAGGTGACTAGAAAGCACCTAGGGAGGAGAGGTAAAGGGGATCCCTCCTTCACCAGTGCTGCCTTGTGCTGAATGCGGGAGAGGCATCCTCCCCAGCAGGACACCTGGTTCAGAGGCCAGGCTGGCACGGGGAGGTGTATTTCACCCTCTCCACTACTCGGGTCAGCCTGGTACTCTCTGAAAAGTGCATGCAAAGTCTTTTAGAACTACTGTCTCATCAAGTGTATGGTTAGCTATTTCCTGATTATAACCACGATACTCCCATTTCCCACCCCCACTTGAATATTTCCTGTTTTCCTTTTCATTATGCTCTTCCTGATGAGCAAGTTCCAGGACCGTGCAGAGCACGATGTTGTGTTTGCACAGCCAGAGCCGTCATCCTTATTTGAATGTACTACACTGGCATCGCTCACGGTTGTGCAATCAAAGGCTTCTTGTCTGCACTTTAGATTCTTTTCTCTTTAAAGGATCCACTCCCAGCATGTCCTGAGTGCAGAAACCAGATGGCTTAACAGCAGCACTTATGCACATGTGGCTCAGCCATTCCCAGTCCTTATTCAATCCGGAGTTGATTGTGTCTAGTTTGCATATCAATTCCAGCTCAGCAGTCTCTCGTTGGAGTCTATTTTTGAAGTTTTTCTGTTGTAAGATAGCCACCCGCAGGTCTGTCATTGAATGGCCAGACAGGTTAAAGTGTTCTCCCACTGGTTTTTGAGTATTATGATTCC